AATGGTTATATCTGTCTATGGAGAAATTTGTGTTTAAATGTGTGTGTGTGTACGTTTTAATGGTAGGCACTCGAATATGAGAGAAAATTTATATAATTTAAGTATAGCTTAGCCTTTTAATGCAAAACTACTGGTTGTCTCCACCTCAGTGAACATTGGTAACATTATTGAATATATTTTATGTCAAGGATGTTGCAAACAGGTTTACAAACAAATTTACTATGTATTTTTTACTAAAATGAGTTATTTGATCAGGTTTGGTATTTTAAAACCGTGGAGATGAATCATATTATTTTATTTTTTCAGTAGATCATCAAATTTGCAGAAATGTATTCCTACAGTAGTGTACACTCAGTCATAATACAAAAATGTATGTTAAACAATAAATAATCTTATCCTCCCTTTTTATCACAGAATGATGAGAACATAATGTTCTATGGTTGTTATGAACTTGAATTTTCTCAGCGCACTTGAATTTTTTTAATATAGAAATCTTCAAAGTAGAAGAAAGAAAAACGTTTAAATGAAACACGTTGTTCAGTACTATTGCTACTTGAAAGCCCACTTGAATAATAGCTGACTAGCATGAATGAAACGTAATTTCCTCCTCCAAGTGACCACGTAACGGTAAAGACGTCTCGAGGAAATCAAAACCTCTGCTTGAACAGCTGGTCCTCTTATCAAGTGACAATTTTTGTCTACAAACCAAATTGATTGACACCTCTGTGTGCGTTACAAAGGCTCCATTCATTGACAACGTATTGTACGCCTCCGACCAACGCAAACTCTCGAATAACCTCTATGTTATGCGACCCCCTCCGACATATGTTGAGAGCTGTTGTAATTGGTACAATTAAAACCACTAGTCATTATGGTTCCAGCTGCTACTTGATCGTTAACACTGTTTGGGAACTTGTGTGTGTTGAGTGGAATTGTTTTAGGGCGATCGTTAGGAGGTGGGGCCGTTATTTGAAAACACTTTGCATTTTGTTGTCTCCATAAAATGGTAGAATGGAAACTGTAGAAAATGTGTATGGTAGTTAAATTGGATGATTTGCATTTGCCTTCTTAAAACTTAAGAATGATTCCATGACACTATAAAACCGTGTAAAACACGTGTATGGTTTTTGGACAAATTGAATTCGTCCACAACGTTGAAAAAAATACACATGCCACAGTTAAAACGTGTCACTATTATTTGTACAATTCATACTCACAAATTTGCTTGGACGCAGATGAAGCGGATATTTTTAATTGTTCAGATTTGAGATGAGTCGTGTAAATTCACCCATTTGTCTGCCCAGTTTCATATATAAACATTTAGCTTTGATGTGTCATTTTCTTTATGGGAACAATGTTAAGTAACACCAGTTGACGGACATCTCACGTAGAAATTGACATCAAATCATGAGAAAGAAGAGCCTTAGTGGTAATATGTCCAGTGTAATGATTGATGTCTGCAATCTGACATGTAGATCTGACGGATATGCACGTTATACTGGGTCGTGACTGTTACTTCCTCGGCCCTTCATGCGCATATCCACTCTAATGATGTCGGTGATAAGGTGCGTTGTATTCAGATGCAGTGATTGTGGAAAACATTTCGATATTTTACTACTAGGTGGGCAACGGTACACAATTGTCATCAACGGTTGGCCATAGAGTGAGATGGTATAGAGGGATTGTCGATAATACTTTGGCTCTTGGTTGAGGCATAATCCGCTTTGCCGGGGCTGTTTGAACCCAAAGCTTGACCTCGGCTTCAACTGGCTTCTTTTGTTTTATAATCACCTCCAACGCCTTCCGACCTTACGTTAAATTAGTTTGCTACTTACTTGATGATTTATTGGCACTAAATTATACTTTCAAAAATCGACAAACGAAACCCCATTTTCAACGAGGAAATTAAGCTTCAGAAGCGCCTTTTGACCTCATTCTCCAAACGGTGGTTACCGAAATTGCTGTTCGACCGTCTATAATGGAGGATGAGGCTGCAATTTAAATTTCACGATCTGCGTACAAGTCAATAACCCTGATGATTAAAACGCCATCAATTTCGGCGTTGACCGTTACACGGTGGATTACCCGGGAATTGTGCTAGGCTGGAAGTCGGACGTGGAATTACATACAATCACGACTATTAGTCAGATGCGATCTTGTGCGAACAATGGAGGGATCGGTGTAGTCTGATGTTCTAGGCATACTGTCTTCAGTAACTGGTGAAATACCTCTTGGACAACTCTGGTGGAAACTGCAGATCAACATTTCCACATGCCTAAAGGAGAACCATTTGTATGATCAATTGAAAAATATTTCATTATGTTTTACAAACGGAGGTTACAAACTAGACTGGCAAATCATTTGTATGAAAATTCCTTTTTACAGCAAATTCCAAATTTACATTTTCAAAGAGGTGTTTAGCTTTCGAATAACTGACTATATATAAAATGGTTTACGATACCAGCCCATCGAAATAGCCAGTAGGGGAATTAACAATATTCTCTTAGGTTTGCCACTACAGCTACCAAGAATTACTAGCCTATATGGAGCTAATTATAGAATGAAAAGTGGAAAATTTTTGACTTTTCGACTAACAAATCTTGATAGGATGGTTACTAATTTTAACATTCACGGATGATACTAAAAGGTGTGTTTTTTCATCAACTTTACAATTGTTTCCTTATGTTAAAATAGAAGAATGTCTTCGAGATCTATGGATATTTGGAATCGACTGGTACATTCCCTAACCTACTCAGGACAAAGTGTTTTGTAGATGTAATTTCGCACTGGAAACCGCACAAACCCACTTTGTGTCCCAGTGGCCGAACTGACCGAGAGAAAGGTTGCGGAATTGCGCGATTTCCGCAACGCTCAGTTACAACATTTCATACGGTGCTGTTATGACGGATTATAGTGGTTTGGACGGTGAATTTCACTGTAATTCTGCCAATCCGCGGGGAGTATAGAGCTGATAGAACTGGTAATCGAACTAGGATAACTTGCCTGTATGAGTCGTTCATACGTCAAGATTGTAAAATTGTATTGCCATAGATTTTAGACATGAGAAGTGGCTAAACAGTTCATTAGAAGTAAATTACTAGTTTTATTTCACATAGAACGGTCATGGGAATTATTGCTGGTAGGATTTATTCAACGTTGCTCATAGATCAGTGTTGACAAGGTTTAGCAATTGCAGTAAACAATAAACGTGCATTTGCTTTAATTCTTCATTAACATCTGTGACATCACTGTATTCATATCAAACTGTTATCAATATCGAATTCATCAAACAATTGATTCTGTATTTACTAAACTTAATTATATGAGAACAATAGGCATTGTACTCTGTATAGTATGCTACACTGTACGATTTGTCTGTTGGGGGAGTGAGTTTTATTGTGTATTAGTCATACAGTTTCGACCACGCCAGCAAAGGTTGGTATGAAGTCAGCGATGGTTCAATCCTTGCATCATTCAAGGACGTTGCTGCGTTCACTGGCTTTTATTACCGTAGCAGCTTTTGTTGTTCCATTTTGCCCAAGTTTATTGAGATAATACAGGTGGGATTTTCTCTTGATCTTGTGGTGATTCAGCCCTATATATATAATTGTCATATGCATTTTTGTAAAAATGTTTGTTCTCTATTTTGGGCCACAAATTTAGTTGTAAGGGGATACCAACCTTTTGGGATACAATCTATAATATCACTCCTCCAGTCCTCCACAACTACATTAGGAATTATTGGCTTCCTCAACTGGAATCACTCCAGTGACGAATTGCGATGATTTCGTTCTTACAACGCGATCACCTAAAATGTCCTGCGCTCAGTAAGATCAATGCCCGATCACCGTGAAAGGTCAAACATTTGGCAACTCCCAGACATGTGGTTGAGTGTCGGTGACTCAGAATGCTACTCTGTAGCTGGAGAGGTGCCAGAGGTCCTCTGTGTCACGTGCCCACTGTCCAGGTGTTACTGGTCAGCTGATCTCAGCTACAACCTCGTGAAAGCCTGCATTGTTGATCAGCTGATTGTACAGAAGCTCTTGAGATCCTCAGTTTGATTGTGAAATTTATTTTCGATCTGTGTTGGTAGTCATGTACAAGTTTACACACTTTTAGCAGATCGGAAGCACTGTTATGTTGCCGCAAAACGAGACTGGGAAGAGTTAGATTATCCAAACCCTTTTGATGACGAGCACTGTCTTCGCTTGCCTTATAATTAATCAATCAACGCCCAGCTGATATTTGACCGCGGCTAGTGGCCAATGTTTGTGCAGCTAGCCATATGTTGAGTGAAGAGCTTGAGCGCGGAGTGCGGCTGACTGACGGATATGGAGGGAATCAACAGCTAACAGATGATGGTAATGAGTAGAGAACCGTAGGGGGCGATCTGACCCCGGGGTCAACTGACACGTGCCTTGGCCTGTCATGCTGTCATACAGTCATGCTGTCATGCAGCCATGCAGTGACAGTGGCTTACTAACTTTGGGAGAAAGCTGTTTACCGTGCATTGTCACGATGTATACGCCACACCATGACACACAACGCGAAATTGTGTTTAGGGCGGTGTTAAATTGTATTGTAGATGGTAGATTTCTAGCGGTGTACGTCAAAATAAGCTGACACCACTTAATTACCTACTTTCACCCCGAAACAAACTTATATATTACCTAAGTCGAGTGATTTTTGCAAATTTAGTTTCTGCCGGTGTCAGACAGAATAAGCAATTTGCATCTCCGTACTTAAACAAAATCGCTGTGGATATTTAACGCCTCTTTAGTCTATTTTAATCTTAATTAATTAGGATTAATTTTGATTTTTGGGTGCAGAATTTGCTTCTGTATTTGAGAGACTATTTGAACATTTTCCTTATGCAGTTTTTAACATAGTTTTTGGTTATTTATAAGGATCCTGTGCCCACATCGTGGTATCGGTATTCAATTCCTAATTTCAAAAAATGTTCTATCCACGTTCTTATGATTTTTCTCTTTCTGTTGCAGGGTATCCAACGTCAGGTGGAGTTTCTGGGCAGGTCTGTCAGCTCGGTGTTGAAGCAGTGCGATCTGCTGGTGCAGGCGGAGGCCGAGAAGTCGAGAGAGGCGGAGCCCCCAGACACCCAGGGGCGACGACGAGGTCGCTTGGACGCCGCTCAGGCAGTGAGGACAGCCAAGGATCTGCAGAGACGCTGGCAGCACCTGACCATCAGGAGTCTAGAGTGGCAGTGTCACATTGACAACCAGACCAAGCGTGCCGAGGACAAGGTAAGGAATAGAAAACATCCTACAGAATATTCTGTAGCTCTATAAAATGAATCTCTACGGATTGGCAACGTAATTTTGTAATGCCCCCGAGGTTGTGGAATCGATAAAGAAGAAATTCATAAATATTGGTGTTCAAATCAGTTTTTTGCAACAAAGCTCAATACGTCTATTTCCACTGATATTATATTTACATCTTGTTTTCCAAAGCCACCATTCGTGAGAGCAATATTGGCTCTGGAGGCTGTTTTGGGAGACCAATAATTTAAAAATGGTTTGCTTATCGTACTGCCTTCACTTCCACCATGCTGCCTTGCTATCCTTAAGATGCTGGTTTGATCATAAGAGGTGTCAGTAGCATTTCTTAGTTCGAAACTCAACTCATACTTTGGCAATTGTGAATAAATTCCTCTTGTTAGAGACAGTTGGTCTTCGTCGGTAATAAAGCTTTAGGATATAATTCCATTCAACACTCATCCTTCATTCATAGTGTTTAAATTATGCCCAGTTGCGTATACACCATACATTTCTTACTGAATGAACAGTTACATTGATCACTTCATCAAGTCCCATAGAACACATCAACACATCAACAGTATGCACCACAATGAGATGTAATGGTTGACTGGTCTACATCAAGCCCATGTCCCTGATACAGTTTGGAACACTGCCAGCCATTACCATACCATATGGCATCGCCGCAGGTCCCTAGTAGGTGTTTGGTGTCCAGTGACCAGTTTCTAGCCCAGGAGCGCTGTACCGCGTATCGTGCCTTGTAGTGCGGTCAGGTTTCCAGAACTACTTAGCCTGATTACCCCTTTATCTCGCTGGATCCACGCAAGCACGCACCTCTTTCATTTGCATTCCGCCTGTGAGAGCTGTGGGTCAGGTTGAGGACGACAATGTGTGAAATGGTAAAGTCTCGTTTACTTTCGGCTTGTGTTCGCATGAATTGAATTAATTCGTGGATGTAATAGGTGTATAGTCTTTATATGTACAAATTGTAATAATTCGGGAGTTTTGAGTCATGGCGCTTTTTAAAATCCATGGCTTATGTACTCGAACTTAAGAATCATCATAAATAACTCATGTTTACTTGATCAACATATCATATTAATTAGTGGCCTACTTTAACTTTGTATCTCTTCTCGTTCTGTGAAACTTGTTTCTTTGTGTTATTCCTGTCTGGGAGTACGCTAATGTAAACTAGACGTTTTTATTTCGATTTGAGGCAATTTCTACTGTTTATGCTTTAAACTTTACGTATATAACTATATCAAAATAAGAACAGTAGATCATTCGTAGAGCGTTGTATTTGGTCATAACACAGAACACATCAGTGTCTTCCCAACTATACCTCTTTACTATCTGGATGACAAAATACGAAGGGAAGTATCTATGATGGGTTGGTATTATATTTGGTTTTTATCTTGGTTGCTGATAAAACTAATGAAGCTCGTGTTATGAGTAAGGTGAGTCGCAGCTGTCACAACAAAGCAACCAGCTGTTGATGTTGATAAGGATGTCAGTAAACTACGCACCTGTTGCTTTATAACCCTTCTACAAACTGCCCTATCATATCACCGGAGTTTGGGCGTTGATTAAACTAGCAATTGTAAAGCTGGTTGGTTATCAATAAAGGTCTATGACAAATTTAGATTCAAATCATTCAACAGAAATGTTAGTACGAACTAAAGTAAATTTTAACATTTTTCGTATTTGAATCTCGTTTAGTTAGTCAATTTTGAAAGGGTTCCTAAATTTGCGACCTCACTAAACACAGGATTATGAGTATGACAATTCGATAAAATCATTTAAATTGTATAGTGATCGGCGGTGTTAAGTTACCAATTAAATTATATGTGCAAATAAGCTATTACCGTAAGTTTCTTGGTAAAAACCAGACCCAAGACCGATTTATTTTTTTTCGTTTTGATGCCCCCAGAGGCCAAAAACGCCGTCCGTTCAAATTCATACACAATTTTGTCAGCAGATATAACAGTGAAACTAAATTAGCTACGATACGATATCACGACTACTGTACATGTTACGTCACTGCGTTGTAGAAATCAAGAGAACAGAGGCTGATGAACAGGCTGTGTGATTACCGGTGAAGTAGCAATTAGTAAAGTAGAAAAGAAAGAACCCATCAGCATCAGCATCGACGACGACCGGTTCGGCAACTACTGTACCTCCACCTTGCGCTGTGATTGTGTGGTGCAAGTGTGTAGGTGATGAGGTTCGCACGATTGTCCCCCGGAATGTGACTTCACTTTCCCGCCATTTCACTGGGATCAGGCAATTAAGCGGGTGTGGTCGAGGATATAAGAGGTTTAGTAGTCATTAGTCGCGGAGTTTCTTGCGCTTTCAATAGCCAGATTGGAAGTGTCGCGTTTTACTGTTCACTATGAAATTATATTTCTATACTTGGTATAAAATGTTCTCCGAGTATAGTATTCATCCTGTAAAATCCGAAGTTGTGTCATTTCTGGCTACGCTTGAGTGCGCTAAATGCTCTAAAACTATAACCCTATTACTGACTGTCTGATTTTTTATAATTCTGGAATACTTATACTTTATTTGGCCTATATGTGAACTTGCAGAGAAAGGGCATCTGAAACTGTGTCAAGGATTTCTTTCAGTCCTTTGGGGGATAAATGTCGATCTTGATCCGGTTTATACAGCTAAAGCCCCGATGACATAATTTATAACACCTATTCCACAGTAGCAAAACAGTCCCAGGCTAGTGCATTAGGAAATGAGGGAGTGGGCTTAGTGGATAGGCTAGGGCTTCGGTGTGTCTGACACTCCGTCTGTAAAAGACCCTCACGTCCTAAAAACCCTACCATTATGACACTGATTATGCAGACAATATTCCTCATATATCAGTGTTGAATTGTTTTCTTTTTCCATTTTCTAAAACATTTCATCATCATATCGTAATATGCTACGTGTGGTATCGTTTGTTCCGTAATATCTCATAAATTAAAACCCAAACGCGCCACGTGTGTACTGTCCGTGTCCGGCTCGCGCCACGCCGGGTACGTTCACAGCTGGTCTAATGGTCTAATGGCCGGCCGTGACTGTCACTAGTTGATTTGTTCCTGGCTCGCCATTGTAATGGTCGGCTGTGGCTGTAAACACGGTAATGACGGCGAACAGAATGGATTCCCGCAATGCATAAATCCCGCACCGCGCGGCTACATGGTACAAACTGTAGCTTGCCACCTGGGCGATCACGGCACGCGATGCTAGGGCACAGAGTACAGCGGTCGTGTGTATTGGGGCTGCCTACACATACTTATAGGAATATGCTCAAAACCTCAGGGGCAGCCTTGGTGAACGTATCTGGCTTGACAAGAATAATCGAATTTGAAAGGGATTAGGATGTAACAAAACGTGAAAAACTCCTCAGAATGCTTTGGGGAAATTGGCGAGTCGGGGAGTTGCCTATGTAATGCAAATCGTGTATACGGTCGATCTACCTAAGGTAAACATTACATAACAAGCATTAGAACAAGAGTGTAATTATGATGCAGCGTGTATGGTTGGCAAGGATGTCTTTGGAGCATATGCAGGCTCTGAGAATTTGTTTCGTCCAATACACGGGTAAGGTAGAGCGTGAATGGTAGCTGTAGGCGTACCTCCCTGAATAAAATAAAACACTCTGGGTAAAATTGCCATCTCACTTATTCTTGTTTTTTAGCTGTCTATTCAGGTGTCTAGTAGTTGGCTCTCTTAATAGGTATGAAATTACTAATAGCATTACAATGCATCTTTTCAGCTGCGAAACTGTCAATGAAAATTCGTCTACTCTCGATTGAAGAATTTGTCCAAAGTAGTAATTATGGCTCAGCAACAAGAAAACCCTGTGGTCAACGCGTGCGTACAGATTGGCCAATGGTTCGAGGGTCGTTTCTAACATACAGATTGACCAAAGGTCCTAATGAGCAGGGGCAAAAAATGGGGGAGGAGCTTACAGCAGCGATGTCCCATGTGTGGGAGGGGCTAGTCTATTCAAGTAAACTGTTTGTTAACGTTTTCTAATCTTACCAGATACAGAGGTGGTCTCTTTAATGCTATTGAATATCGTAGAACCAACTTGTGTAGTTGAAAAAGTTGACAACATTTTTTTATTCATTTTAAATATGAATACTCATAAGGTTAACATGGGAAACTAAGGAGCCATTGGGACAGAGCCCGAAATGATTTTTGGGATAAGAATGTGTCTAGATATGTTAATCGGAAATGTGAGCTATCTTCATACCAAATTTCAACCCGATCCGAACAGTAGTTAATGCGTGATTGGATATCAAACAAACGAACAAACTCACAAAATTTCACAATATTAGTACTACGATATATTGTAGTTTTTAAGGGTGAAAACATGATGTCTCATCATATCTCTATTATTTTCATTGCGTGTGCGATCTCTTCAAGGCAACTTAGAAAGATTAAATAACATTTTACTAATGACACATACTATGAAAACACAAAATCTAACGTAAACCATTTTCTTCTTTACATTGTATACAAAATAATACAACATTTTCTTGATTTAACCATAGACTAACCAACACTGTTTTATCTATGATTTAACTTAAACATCACCGACTTACAGATAACCCAATTTTCGTATGGATGTAAACAAAATTGTACCATGGACATATGTTTTGATGTAAACAAAATTTCATTGTAAACTTGAAAAAAGTTCAGATGATTGACAACAGAATTCAGCACAAACTATGCAATAAGCTAATATGACGAGGTTATATGCTTTCACGGGATAAACGGAATGATACCTCCAATTTGGAGTTATTATTTTCTTTTAGCGGCAACTGGAAATGTAGCTGACTAAATATTAATAACAAATTATTATTTATTTCAGGATTTTAAGGCAAAATGTTAAGAATTATTTGAAGTTTAGAATTTTAATTTTTTGTTTACGTAAATGTTGAATAAGTGAGTAGATTTTTGTATTTTGTGGTAGAACATTTTATTCG